CATGCTGGATTATTCGATTTAGCGACAGCCTGGAAGGAGTTCACGCCAGCGTCCGAGCCATTTTACACAGGCACGTAGCGCCACGTTGTCACTACATGGCTTGCGCAACTGCGTGGTGAGGAGGGGGGCTGTCTATAATTGCTCTGGAGAAACACCAACTGAAAGCATAGGGACTGTGTTCGTGTGTACAGTTCATCAGTACTGTGCGAAGAAGCACTCTGCCAAAGAGCTGTCTCTCACAGGATGTTAAGATTCATGCATCCTGATTAATCCCCCTAACTGCATGGGCATTATATTACCCATGCCTGGCTCGAACTGAGTCCCATCGTTCAATGACATCAAGCTAGCATATAGCTAAAATTACGATATTTCTGCCTTACAGCGGCCATTAATTTATTCCCAGCAAGGATTGCGCTTCATGAAATGATTCTTCTGTAAAATAAATCAATGATCACAGTTTCGCTGAGAATAAATTAATCACATATAGCTCCATACCGCCGCGCGGGAGGAGCTTCAACATCAAATACTGTACATTATATATTGGATCAACATCAAGCATATATTAGCCCTGCGATATATGTATTTCTTTTATAGAGGAAATATGTACAGTGCCAGGTATTTATTTCCGTTATAGAGGAAATATATACTGTACCAGGCTACCAGCACGCACTGGGCCAAGAAGTTTTGATTACATAGATGGATACCGTATATGTTGTTGAATACTTTGCATAAAGGTGAAAAAAGGGATAAAATAAAAGCTCCATCAAACGTAAAATCAAGAAAACGACGGAAGTGCTAGAACACAAATCAGCAACGAGGGCAATTATCAGAACACCCGTTCATTCCGAAAATGTACATCCCATATTGTGGTCTCATTTGATATTTATCATCCTGGTATATGTACCCGTCTTTCTGACATGGCAGGGTTTTTTGCGTGGCATGTTTTACCGTGCTTCACCTGCATTCTCACGCAGAAACAAACGTGAGAATATGAACTGAGCGAAATAAATTTTCCGCACGAATATAATATTTGGCATGCTCCTATATGTGATTGTAACTTATTGTGAACAATTTATGAGCTAATGACGCGTTATTGAATCGATCATCGCTTTGTGTCAAGGGTTTGTTTCAATAAATTATTGTTGCATGTGTGTGCTTCAAAAACAACCTAGGAAGAATAACGGACCGTACATACTGTTATGTATAGATGAAGTCCTCAGAAAAACATTCCAACACTGGAAATATGAATTTGTCGGACGCAAATTTTTTCTTAGATTTCGTCTTCCACACCAGCGTGTCCTCTTTATTTTCCTTTTCATCCTTAATAACGCATTCAAGTAGGACACTCATAATAATCAGTAGTTCATTCCTCCTCATACGATTTTTACCTCGCGTATAATGGCCAATATATATAGGCTGCATGAATAGAGAGTGAAGTACAGTATATACAGAAGATATAATGCAACATGTGTCACGAGTGCATTTCACTGAAGTTGACATCTTATAATTTATGCATAACATACAGCAGTGCGGGACCCTTGGTTTAACAAATTTAATGGGTTATTGCCACCAAAAGTTTGTCAACCGAATCAAATTTTCCATGGCCTTCAACGGGGGAAACATTATTGTCAGAAATGGGATTAGGATGTAAATAAGCTACAAATAAATAAGGTACATGTATTTTATCATGTTTGAAGTCGGTAGATTTGGTTTCAAAAAATAACATGCAAAGGAGAATAACATAAGGAATAAGAATTAAGAAGTTAATACAATTGAGTTTTAAAGCTTATATAGAAGGACTGGGCTGTAATGTAGCCGAAGATCAGGCTCTGTGAAACTAAATATGGTTGGGAAACCTTGCCGTAGAAGAAGTGCGATCGCTATCGACGTATTTAAAGTTCTCCTTTTTATCCCAGCACTACATTCGCCATCATTGGTTCGAATTTCATGCCGTTCCCTAAATGTTCCTCTACATTATTCCGATATACACACAGGAGCTGGTCCTACAAACCCCGAAAACCAAGCGAGGAAATGAAAAAAGAAAAGCCTTCATGCAATGACAGACCACGGTTTCAGTTAACGATGTTCTCTGTATTTGGATGATATACACAAATATTATAAAAATGTATTTTCTCCCGTTTCCTCACATAGCAGCACCAATTTTTTGTGCTAAACGCCAGGAGATGATAGCGAATATGCCCTTCCCAAACCAGGGAGTCCTGAAATGTTTGATTGCGCCCAAACATATCGAATACAGTAAATGGAAAGGGTCCACCCGGAATTACTGCATCTTAGTCGATCGGTTGTGAACAGAAAATATCTTCGACTAGAATTCATCAATTTGGTGCATATACTCGAAAGAGGCCAAAGGTAACAGTGGTATTCAATTCGCGAAGTTTCTCAGAAACAAAATGAACACACCTCGTCAGGAAAAAAAAAAAAAAACTTACAAAATTAACATTAGTAACAAATGCAGGTGTCGACGTAGTAGAAGATCCTACTGGCCTTCTGAAGCGGTGATATTGCGAACACGTTTAGAAACCATCTCCTAAATAAATGATTTCTAATTCAACTACAGAGAAATCGGATCGATTTCTACAGCAATCACTATGATAAAATTTATGGATGAGGAGTACCCCAACAAACAAAACGGGGTTTCGAAACGATAACAGCTCTCCACGTCTGTCAAAATGACAAAACCCTCCAACTCCTCAAAAAACCACCGACAGAGGTTCACGTTACCGAAATATTTTGGCTCTCCTTCCACCACCTTTTCGACCGTGGTCATACGCCAGATTGCGGCAACGTGAAATGAATATCAACAACGTCGGAACAGGCGGAGGATCCAAAAGGTGCTGGGGTGAAGTTTTCTTGCCAGTTGGAGCCATTGGCTAACAGCAGAGAGACAATATTGCTTTCGTTTTCTTCTAATTCCGTGTCGGACGAGGAGGCTGACGCATAAACTACAGTCCGACTTCCCAGCACAGCATGACAACAATCAATGAATGGGTGATCCGGCGTAAAAGATGCCACCGATGTTCCTGGGAATTAAGTTGCAATTTTTTTTTTCGTACAAAACCAGCTATTGACCAGTGATGCTGTCCAATATGCGTAATAACTCAGATGCTTTAGTCACACGTAGGGTTCGGGTGGGGAATCATCCATTGTTATCTCGGATCTCTTCAGTCCACGTGTACCATAGTTTAGTTGGATTAAAATACAGTACTGTCTTTATAAATTAAGTCTCTTAAATCATTTGTTGGGAATTAATATTTCACGGACACTCAAAAAGGAAATATTGCCTTGACGTCACTGAGGAAAGCTGCGTGGGTCTGTAAAGTCTAAGATGAAAACATAAGTTTATTTCTCTTCCAAAAATATTCCCTACATCTCGATCGTTCAGTTTATTTCTTATCGATATTCCTCAAGGCTCATAAGCAATTTACCGCCCTCTTTCAGAGCAGTCTGGTGTCTTTCACCGAACGGTAGAATGATCTTCATTTTAAATTTGCGAAGAGAAAAATGAACAAACCTGATACGAGGCTCCATAAACGCAGAGTGGGGTCATGTCCTTTGGAATTATAGCTAAAAAGCCGTTCCCCGCTCTCAGTTACTCGCAGCATGTCGGGCCCCACAGTGTGGCCCCTTAGGGTCCACTTGAGCGAGCCTGTGAAAGAGAAAGACTCATCACTGCCATCAGAAAATCGTTCGCTCTCACCGACGACACTCATTTTTGCGTCAGAACACACGAAATCGTACCAGTAATCAGGTCCCAGATCAAGATAGACGCATCGGTCCGCGAAGCAATAACGTACGGGTCACGAGGCTCTTGATACTGCAGCACACCTGCGCCAGGAGTTGGGGTGACATTCCCAGACAATGGAATCAAAGGGGGAGTGGCAGAAATTGGCGAGGATATCACAGAGGTTCGCCTACCACTGGGACCGAGAGAGCCAGCAACCAGCGCCTGCAGCGTGGAATGTGGTGACCTCGACGGCGACAGCAGAGACGTTTGCCCGTGTCCTTGCGGATTGGAGATGGCGAGGGCGACCATCGGCTTCCCGGGTTTCAGCCTCTTGAACTGGGTTCCGTTTTGAAGATCGTACACCACGATGAACATTGCTTCATTCCCATCGATTTCCTGGGAGAAAATTCGAAGAACGCACAGGTGTGAACAGATCCTTCATCGCACTCGACTACACCTAAGAAATCCCAATTCAAGGCAAGTCTCACACAATTCAGACAGAAAACCTGTTTCCTAAAGGTTTTACATTTTCTGTTACGATAATACAAGTGGCATTGTTGTTCTTGTGTGTATTCTAACAGATACATTTTTATTACAACAGATTCATCATAACCTCATACACAGGTGAAAACGAATCCTTCATCGCACTCGACAAATCTCAGAAATCTCAATTCAAGTAAATTCTCACAATTCAAACCTGTTTCCCAAAGGTTATACAGCAATAGAATTTATGATCGAACATGGAAGGAGCGAGTCCACAAAATACAAAAAATCAAGGAGGAAAATCTGGCGAGCCTTAATCACGAAATACTGCAGTTCACCAGCTTCAAATTCGATCGTTTCTTCGTCCGCGAAATTGTCATGAAGCATGAAGATATCTTATTTCTCTAATGAATTAAATCCCTCATCATAATTCAGTAAAACTGAACAGAAAAGCTCTCTCGAAAATTACTCAGAGATTATTTTGTGCCAGTCGTAAGTTGAAAAATTCATCGGGCCCTTCGCACCTAGTTCGTCATGATACAGATATTGTACTTACAATATTAATTCTGGCTCTTCTGACACTTTCTCTTATTGTTGTTCTTTTTTTTTCATTACAACAGAGAATTCGAACTCGTTCTTCCGTTACCCTTATTAAAACACTAAAACTCACTTTAAGGAAAACAGGTCAGGGCAATGTGTAAGCCATCAGAATTATCAACACTACACCGATTTTCTCTCTAGATTTTTTGGTTTTTTGAAAGACTCTCCAAAATGGTGTTTGAAATTTTAGGTACAAATTATAAATGTGAATTTTAGCTTCACGCCTTTCTCACCTCACATGCACATGCGACGTAATGCCCTTCCTTCGTGATCGCCATGAGATGCGTCAAGAATTCATGGTGTGGGATGCGGAGATCAAACACTAACTTCCTTTTCTCAAGATCCCAAACAAGCAAAGGAAACGGCTTCTGAGTTTCATCTCCACAAACGCAGATCTTCCCGTTTTCCGATACAACCAACGAATTCAAGAACCGATCCTCTCCCACTTTAAACGTGGAAATGCAGTCTCCGGACTCCATGTTGATCAAGTTGAGATACATGCGGTTTCGTGCTAAACGCAGATCTTCCCGTTTTCCGATACAACCAACGAATTCAAGAACCGATCCTCTCCCACTTTAAACGTGGAAATGCAGTCTCCGGACTCCATGTTGATCAAGTTGAGATACATGCGGTTTCGTGCGAGAGTTATTAGATGATACTCGTCCACCAAAGCAAAAAGCGGCAATTTCTGATTCATAATGCCTTTCAATTTCAACTCCATTTTGCCTTCCGCAAGATCGATGAGAATCAGCTCCCGGCCGCAGAGACAAATTGCTTTTCGTTTTCCCGGCAAAAGCTGGAGGATTTTCGGCTCTTGCAAATCCCGCATCCTTTGAACACAAGTGTTTTTGATGCAGTTCCACACGGCCAGTTTTCCAGCGGTCGACGACAATGAGATCACATAACCAGGATCCGAAGGAATCGCAAAAAGCTTCGCGTCCATCTTCACTCTCCCGTTTGACGAATACCCTCCCTGTTCCCCATTCAAGCTGGGACTCCGGAGACAAGGCCTCAATGGTATGAAGCTCGTCATCGGGAATTCTTTGATCCGAGCCAACAATACCGCCGTACTCGGAAATTTAACATTGAAATCCGTGGACGCGGCGATCGGCAACAGACGAGTGTAAATTTGAGTGAAAAATTGGGCGGGATCCACGTTCAACGCATGTCCACTCAGATGTAAAGCGGAGAAGAGCAGCAAAAGATCGTCCTGGTTGTCTTGTCGACGCAAGACAAGACTCAAGTCATTTTCGACCTAAAACGTACGGAACATAAACACCATTAGCTCGCAAATTAATTATTGTCCGAATATAAATAAATGACTGTTTGTTCGACAGTTTTTCCATTATCTTGAAATTCATCGTTGATAGTTACAAGCGTCTCGTCAATTCATTCCGAAGCTTTTCGGATTTCGTCGAAAAACTATTCATAATAAATGCACTCCTTCTATTGCACGGAAAAATTCATCCTTAAAAATTGAAATACAAGTATACAACCATCAGGAAACTATGGAAGAGCAAGGTACAGTATTTCAAAATAATTTTGGGTACCTCAGTGTGAGTCCTAGTCACTCAATGAACTAGTTATAACTATCTTAGGATAACCACAAAAACTCGAAATCAAGCTTTATAGCGATCTTAAATTCCAGCTATTGATGCTCGGACAAATTTTTGCTCACGATTTTGAATTTTGAAATTTCGAGGAAACCTTCAATCCAACATCACGAACAAAGATTTTCAGGATCAGAACTTTTTCTTCGGTATAACTAGAAATGGTCAGATCTGGTGCAATGTCACTTGAATGTTTTCCACTATTTGAAGCACTTAAAACTGTCCACTTTCGGAAAACCTGAAAATTATTAAACATTGCAAATGTAGAGGGTAAAACCAGCCTATTTTTTCTCCTTTTACTTCCAGATTCCTAATTCATTTTCATTTTAATCTGGGAGAACAAATATGGGGGAAAAGTTCGAGAGAGACAATATGTACTTTTTCAAAGCTTTTGAGCCAACTGTCTTCAGTTCTGTTGAGCACATACCTCAGTGACTCCGCACTTGCATATCTTTTCGAACAGCCAATTCATTCCAAATATGTATTCATCCATACTGTCTCCAAGTTGGAAGGCAAGAAACGGTATTTCCTCAAACGCATGACACGTGTCCCTACCATCCATGACGGACAAAGTATCCTAAACATCCGGAATTAAATTTAAAACCAGAAATTCGAAAAATTCAACAAATTCACGTCGCATACCTGCAAACGCTTTTTCAAGGCACGTAGAGTTGATTCCAAAGAAGTTTTAGCAGTTGGCTCCGAACCAAGTGATAGCACCATGTTCTTGAAATGTCGACTTGTGTAGGTGTACATTGAGACACCTCCCACGTTGATGGTGTGCAGAAACGGCAGGACGCTGAAGAAGATGTTGAGCCACGCGCCATCAAAATTTGGCACCCCACTGTCGTCTGAAAAATCCGACAGTTGATTTTATGCTGGACAACTGAGAAGCGCGAAGAAAATGTCCCTTACTTCCCCAACGATCCGGGCAGAAAAAAAAAAATTGGTACAATATTTTTTGCTGATTTTTAATGTCTATCGCAGCCTAATTCAATAAAAATGAAGCGGTATTTCCATGCGAGGTAAAAAAAAATAGATGAAGGTATTTGAAAATAGAAAGATGCGATTTCCACAATGCCATCGCAGAAAACCAAGAATTGAAAACTGCAGAAGTTTCTTCTCTGAGGCACTAAAATGATTCAAAAATCAAAAACACGATTCGAAAACTTTTACCCAGCTTCGTTCAGTCACCAACACACGAGTCATTTGAAAATTGGAAATGTATCACACGAAGAAAGAGTCCAACCCTGAATCAAAGTTTTCAACAAACCTTGCGAGGGCTCAGTAAAGAATTCCTCAAATTCTTCTGCAGCTACACCCTGCCGCATTGTCGCAAGCGCCAACAACGCCTCGAACACCTGCAAAACACGATATTCATGTAGGATTGACTTTTCAAAATACTGTATCACGAACCCAAATCCTAGTACCTTGTTAGAGGCAAGGGATTCCTCCAGCTCCTGGACCATTTTTTCCAGAAGCCCTTGTACGGTATTCGGAAGCGATTCCAGGGATCCCGTGTATCCCAACTGCGTCAACAACTACATCGGAAATGAGGAATAAGTTTCCCCATTCAGAGAAATACAGGGGGTGCACAAGACTTCAGAGGTGATTGAAAAATTCGTTACATTGTTTCAGTAAACACATTTTACTGAAATCTCCATTATCATGACACATGCCGTTCTACGCAGAGTCGATGTCAACGGCTGTAACTTTCGAATATAGTTTTACGACAACTTTCCTTTTCTTTTAGAGGATGCAGCCAACGCCGGGTTCAATAGGGTTTTGGGCGACAAGTTTGAGAGAATAAGGACAAAATTCGCAACCTTATTCCTGTTGCAAGCAGCTGTTTTCAAATTTATAAAGCATCTTTTAACACATACTTTGGAGAGTCATTTCGCACGCTTCCAAAAATTACAATAAAACTGCGGAGATTTCCACAAAAAATAAATTCATGACAACTTTAGACACTTTGAACAAAAAGGGTTGAGTACCTGGACTCCACATAAGGACTGTACCGACGACAGGCATTTGCGGATTTGTTCGAGCTCATTGGCATTCGGTAAATAGTGATGCTGAGCAGCCATATTCTCTTTGGCAACACTCATCAAATCATTCAGAGCGAGATTTTCCAACTGTGAAAACAAATTAAGGCTTTTGCAACAAATAAGAGGAAAGAAGTCTTCCTAAAAACTCACCGAAAACAAGGAACTTTTTGGCAAAATGTCTTTGATTTTCGGCAGGTATTCTGATGTGTTGTCCATAGAAACGATGATTTTGATGTTGCTCGGTAAATTATCGACGGGCAGCCAATCAAACGGATCAACAGCCACTTTTTCAACCTGGGAGCAATCACGAAATAAGACTATGGCAAAAAGAAAAGCGTTCCATTCCGAACCTGGTCTATTGCATCAACGACGATAATGAGAAAAAAATCTGGCGGCAGACTCTTCAACATGCCCATCAGAACCTCCTTCGAAGCGGGCTTCTGCGGAACAAAATTCACGCCTGCATTATCAACGAAAGACTCCTGGTTTCTTGCAATGTTTTCAATCAAACCAATTTGCCGAATTCCCCCATTACAAGATTATATCGATACATGAATGCGGTAAGATGGCAGTGAACCAAGCCATTCTATTAGAACAGAATAATATCCTTCCAAGTCTGGGTCTATTAAAAAAATTAGCAGAAAAAATCGAAGAGTAAAAAAATTATAATGAAATCAATTGACCTACGTAAATAAAATACCAAGTTGAACTAGGTTTACACGGTATAGGGCCCACAAAAATGTTTCGATCATCACGTCCGAACGTCAAGGGGAGAAAACCCCCAAAAACTATTCGTCATAATTAAGGAGTCTCACCATCACAGAATTAATTTCCAAAAAGGGCTCCGTGCGTCAAAAAAAAAGAGAAAAATAAAATATCGCGCCAAACAGTTGAAAATCAGCAGCAACAATCACATTTTGTGATTGTCGCCGTTGAGCGTCATCTAACATTAAATCTCGTAAGTTTTTCACACTTCTTCGTTGACGTCTACAAAAATTTCGCTATACGAAAAAAAAAACTCTCCGATTCCGGGAATAACACTTCTTGATCAGATACAATTCCTCGTTGAAAATCGTCGAAAAATGCACGAACTTGAATTACTTTCGACTCTTCCGAATAAAACTCACTCTGTACTGCTCGTGAGCGGATTCATCCAGAAAGTACGATAAATGAATGGCAATCGAGCGAAAGAGATTCGATGAGATCTGCGTCTGCGGCGTCATTGCTCCGAATCGGAACAAAATCCCACAACCGGGAAACCACCGCCGCAAAGCGTTTATCACAGAAACCATAAATGTTGTTTTCCCACAGCCTGGTTCACCATGAACAATAACTGCATGCCCGTTCGCTCTCTCGATCACTCTGTCGAAGAAATGTATTTCGGTTCAGCATGAGGATGTTTTTTCGATCTTCACGATTCAAAACCCAGCGCGTACAGTACATTTGACACGGATATCCGGGGGGAAAACCCCCCGACAGAAGTAAACGGTGCCAAAAAATGTAGAATTCTTTCATTTTATTGCACTGTGCGAGAAGTTCCGCGACTCTGCCAATTACGTTGACAAATTCATTTTGGTTACATATATGTAACAGACTGGTAACATTGAATGCCATTTTAAACCACGTCATCACAAGTTCCCATCATTTGTATTGGTTGCTCTGATGAGCAAATGAACGTCGCTACAGTAGATTACAATGGTCGATCGGGTCACGGCTTTGGAATCGAGAAATTAATTACAGCATATATTTCTGAATCATTACTGCTTCAAGCAAGTCTAATAAAATCTCCACAACGTATTGGCCCCAAATAAAATACCTACGGTAGTAACTACAGTATTAGCCTTTTCGGATGCTCCGAATGACGAAATTACTGTTTTCTGAATAACTGTACATATGAATCTGTGAAAAGCTTCAAGAACATCACCCACCTTTTGAAACTTTTCAGTTGCTCTGTGCGAAATGACGGCAATCGAGAGAGCGATTTTAGGATGTGACCTCCTTGCTTAAGCTCGGTTGCTAACCAGCGATCAATGCCAAATGGAAGAGGATCCTAAAAATCATAAAAAAATCGTCAACTTCATGAATTGCATTCTGTAAGTCGAGATAGGTCAACAATGAGCGCTGGAAGTCCCTGCAACGCAAATTTCACTTAGATTACAGACAAAAAACGCATCGCATTACGGAAAAAAATACTTCCCTAAACGTTAAATCCCATTATTTTCCGGACATACGATTTCAAATGACCATGGTTAAAAAAAAGGCTTTCAAATTTGTGTTCAAATCAAGAACTAAGCATATATTTCAGCTCCAAGTTGGGTTTTCCAGCATTCGAAGTTTTTTGATACATTGTATCGCAGTAAAAAAGAATGCACTTTTTATCCTGGCAAATTTTATATAAATCACGTTTTTTCCCCGTAACTGTTGTGATTATGATACGAAAGACACGAAGCAATTAACGGATCAAAAATAATTGCATTTATCGCTAATTTAAGCATGAGCATTGCATTTCAGGTTTTCAGTATGAACTACAGCTCGACCTCTTTGATTCGAATCTCCCTAAATCGATTTTTTTCTGGCCCCTGTTCAAAGTCCCGTTAAAATAATGTAACCAAAACCTCGTAAATCGAAAGTTTTAAGTCAGGAAATTCAAATGGCAATGCTTTTGGAAAGGAGAACCAGCAACTTTATTTGGTTCAAAAAATCATGGATTGGACACATTCATACTTCAGTTTCCTGTGGTTAGCCTTTTTATCCTGTGGAAATAATTAAGGAAATGCTTTGGGACACATCACAAACAATTACAAACATTTCAGCCCAAATTACTCATTTTAAAATTCACAGCAAACATTTTCAGACCTAGCTTCCCCAACTCGAAACCTCTCTAAATCGATTTATTTTTTATTTGCTGGACCTTTCAAATTTGACTTGGAGAGGTCCGACTGTAATTTATCGTCGAAATATTGCAACTTGAGAATAGGTTTAAAATGCTCTGGGCCACCAAGTAATTTCTACCCGAAATACCACGTAATAAATGGCGTGTTTACGTCGACCAAGAAACTCACTCACCATTTGCGTGTAAGGCATGATATCGCAATCAACAATGCTAGTAAGGATAGGCATAGTTCTTGCGCAAACATCGTCCAAGTATTGTACGTGTGAAGAATACTCGGGATCGATCATCCCATCTTTGAGCTTCACCGTGAGTTGCACGATATTGTTTTCATCTACCGAAGCCTAAAAAGAAAAACCGCAAAATGATCAAAAATTCCCTCCTTCGATTTCATCGAAAAAAAAAAAACACCCAAGGAATACCTGAATCTTCGAATCCAACAAAGTGAGACGCTTGAGATGCATTTCTGCTCCTTGCATCTCTTCTGCACTTCTTCCCACCGGTCGAATTTTTAGGCAAATAGTAGATTTTATTGCACAACGCTCCTCCCCCTTCTCACCCGACATTATATCCACAACCTGACCAGCGGAAAATTAATAAAAAAAAAATCCAATCACGTGTTTTTTGCATTGCGGAAATTAGCACCCACCTCTTCAAACATGCTTTTCAAATACTGATGAGAATCACAGTCCTCCCAAACGCCCGTCAAGGCAGTAATAAGGTCATCCTGAGGACCTACACCCTCCTAAAGAAAAAGCAACTCATCAGTGATCACGATTTTTTCACACGATAAAAAATACATAAGAATGGATGCAGCCACCTTCTTTAGTAACAAATACGAGTCTCCACTCTTGAAGTAACATTCCTGTAACCTTTTCCTACGCCGACTGTCCAGCGCGCCACACGCTGCTTCGAAATCTTTCGAACTGATAATTTCCGGCAAAAGCAATTTCCCGGGGTCATCACGGATCAATAGAATGAGAACCAAGTTGGAGCATTCTCGGATGTCTGAAAGGAAGATGAAAATGAAACGTCGGAATATGTAGTAAATCTTCGATTCTCTGAGCCTCCGGTAAACATGGCATCTTATCATCCGTGTCCACTTTTCACTGTATTAAAAGGAAAAAAAAAATTGTTCAACATGCCTCGACTAGATAACTTCAGCCGCTTTATTTTCATCAGAATGCAAATTATTCCAAGTAACGCGATTCCGAACTTGTCGGAATGTCAGGAGTGGGCCTTTCTTCAGTGTTCACTAAAAGTCTATCACAGTACTCGATGATACGTGATTTTTGATCATCAAGTAAATTGGACCTAGTCAATTGCTCAGATAATCAGTGTTATAATGCGTGAGAATCCAAGGGCGGCGGAATGCGAAAACTTTTTAGTTTCCACATCCAGGTACTGCACTCATGCAGTGTTCATTATAAACAAACAATCAAGACAAACAAATTGATAAAAAAAATCGAACGTCCAGAGAGGCATCAATTAATCCTGGTCACGAAATATGGACAAGAAAAAGAAAAGAATAATTACTGTGAAGTGAGAAATTCGAAATACACATGAATCATTTCAACATTTTAAAATGTTAAACGTTCGACGGGGAATCCGAAAATCACACGGTTATTAATTCTGGAATCGGCAATAAATTCGCTTTTTGCGATGGTAGCTCACGTGCTGGACTCAATGAATGCATTATACTCACTTTTCAAAATGCGCAGACACAGCTGTCGATGGGTGTAATGACCTATGTTACTATGTTCTCCGAGCTTGTTCACGTTCAATCCGATCATCCGGCATCCTTGCATTTTGCAGTGCGTTTTCAACTGAGGCAAAACTCTCTTCAACAACTCGTTCCTCTCAACCGACGTATCTGCAAAAGAAGAGGGGTATTCAAACTCAAAAACACGTGATCCGATGAATAATGCGCCATATACTGTTATTTGTAGAACAAGATTCAACGATAGACGTCTGGAATACACATTTTCCAACACTAGTAGAGAATAAGTGATACTTTGAAATTGCTGGTTTTTTTCCACGTCGAGCTCGCTTATTAATTCAAAGTTTATCAACATTATTGCGAAGGGTTTTTAAATATGTTCAGAGGGTGAATCCATCTTTGAAACACTCATTAAATCCTCGAATCTACAAAAATGTTCCAAAGAATATTTTTCCTTTCGTTACTCTTTTATGTCATTTAAGAAAGCTTGGGCATCAACATGAACATGATTTCACAAGTCTTTAAAAGTTTAAAGCACTGCCCAAGCAACCGATGTGAACAAGGAAGAGAATTACCGTATGTACATTTATTGTCTTCTGTGAAATTTAATCTAGTATTTTTACCTTCAGGTCACAGTGAATTTTGCATAAATTTTGCCTTGGGATATTCATTCAAATAATCATACGCTGCGATTATAGTTGATGCAGTACATGAAATGCGTCACATATGGGGTGATCATAGTAATATAAATAATACACTAGAATCTGGTTATAACGAATAACCGATTACAACGAATTCGTTTCTCAAGTCCTTGTCCAATAGCAGCAAGTTTATTTTAGTTCCTTCACAACGATTTTTATGGCTGCGTCGTAACGAGATTTTACTATAATTCAACACACCAGCCTTTTACAAATCAAATTAAAATGCAGCAAGTATCATTTCACCCGGATATTTCGTGAATAAATTTTATGAAAATCGAAGAACTCACCATCTGCTGCAGAAATAACGAAAACTGAGATGTCTTTGTGCGAGAAGACGGGAACAGGACTCAGACGCCCGCGAAGTAAATTTTGCGTTTCTTCCGGCAAAACAACATTGCTTTTCATCGCTTCTGCTGCCAAACAGCTCTGAGCATCCCGATCATAACTACAGTCTGAGATCTTCTTCTGAAGTCCACTGGCATCTAAATAGTGCTTCGAATCGCTACTACTGATGCAATCCAACGAGCCTGTGGGGTACAAAAAAAAAAGGAGCGTGTACAGAACAGCGAATCATACTCCTGCATGAGTTACCCGATTCGTGGGCTCAGTGATACATTATCAAAAACCTCGGACAGAGGTCTCAAGAATTTCATTTTAAGGTTCCTGAAAACGGGCGTAAAATGCAACTTCCTATTGGGAATACTGTACTCTACTCCAGAAAGGTAGACTGTTCGAGTATATGAAATTCCTTTAGAATGATAATTGTTTTTTGGCAATGAAGGCCCAAAAGGTTTTTCAGTACCTGAATTGTCCCACGATTTTCGAACAGGAAAACCCCAAGAAAACATGAACGCCAGATCAGAGACTTGAATTAAATGATTTTGAATGGTAAATTATACTGTACCACTAAACTTTCGCGTGTCATCAATTACTGAATTACTCCCAAGACGGATATACAGTACTAAACAGCTGTACTTGAAAAATGTACAGACTGTGGAAACAAGTCTGTCGAATATTTGGTTTTGGGACGGAGCAACGATACTTTCATTGATTGAGGCATTCGAATTTTCCGAGCACACTCAGCTATTCGATGATGTTTAAAAAACACAGCAGCATTGAAATTAATGAAAATCTGAAGCTTAAATCGGTCAGGGATTATATCTTACGAATATGCGTAACTTCCCTTTCGAAGGTGAATTTCAGAAAAATTTTCTTTTTTTTCAAGCACTCCTCACCAAAGCAGTAAATCAAAGTCGATCAATCGCATTCTCCGAAAGTTGCGAAGCCCAACGATTTTGTAGTTCAAGATTTTTACGAATTCTTTGGAATTCACAGTATACGACAGTACTACCCAACTCAAGGCCAACAGACCCCGATCTGCCCCACATACATTCCGTGGTCCTATAATTTTCAAGATAGCACCCACAAATATCCAAATTATGTATTGAAAGACGAACTAAAAAAAATGTTACTCCACTCTTCGAAGTTTTGTAAGGTTATGTTTTCAATTTAATTCAGGGCATAGCACTGAATTAAATTTGAAAATTTTTATTTCAAAGGAGGGAATTGAGAACTTCAAAAATCATTTTGGCGCATACGGACTCTCCATCTCTGCAATCAGGCCATTGGTCAGAAAACAGTATTGTATTAATGTGACCAAATCTGAATTGGGCAGCACTGGCATGGGATAATACATGTACTATCATACGGTAATTGAATGGCTGACCATCATTCGGAATGATTTGACTTCTCAGCTGTAATCCGCATTACCTTTCGACTTGTTATCGGGCTTATTTTCGGATGAGGTGGAAATTTGACTCTTGAACACCATTTCATTTGAATAGCGCTTCCTTTCGCCATGAGCGCAACTTCCGTCATTTTGTGCCTCCAACTCGCCGCCTTCTTCGTCACTTGCAGATCTCACGCAACTGAAGCATATCCCCGCCGGTTTTCTGTTGATCAAATTGAATGCTTACTTAAAATTTACATTCCATACTGCTCCACGAGATGTCTTCAAAAGGAGGGAACGCACACATACATCAAAAAAGGCTACAAAACGAAAAGCATTCTGCTCGTCCAGGGACTGAAAGTGTTCCATGTCCGAAGATACGATTCAATTACAGTAATACAGGCTTTAGAAACCGTATGAAATTTCGTTACACACTTTTTAATTGTCTTGACGACAAATCCGAACGGCTTCGGCGCACTTTTTTTCAATCCAAGGATTTCTCGATTCAGATAAACGAAAAAAGTGATAATAGTTCAGGAAGTATACTGCTGTACAGTACTGTACTAGATGTCCTCAAGTTACGCGCATGGTGCTGTAATGCACACACGATCCGCAAGTCATTCATCATCTCTAACTTCATAAACCTTGGGAATTTCCAGATTCGAGGGTTATTACTGCGATTCTTCATTTAACAGGATTTTTTTTCTTCTTCTATGTGACCTAGCATTTCTTCCACTGGTAGCATAATTTGAGTAAAACTTTAAAATATGCGATTCTTACACATATAAATATTTTATCAACAAAATAAAAAGATGGCATGGACAGGCTGGAATTTGTCGTATTTACGTTGCACACCACACATTCCGGAGTACTTACCTTCTAGTGGATGAATTTTGCGAGCTGAAGATATTACCCATAGTTTAATACACCTCAGGTCCTCTCAGACCGGCATCAAAGGCACTGTCATTGCCATGGTCATAAGTGTTCAAACCCAAACAACATTTAGAGTTTTTCCGTATGCATTAGAAGAGCACGGTGACAAGAGAAACGGAGAGCTTTCAACCTCGTTCTTGGTTAAGAAGGCAAGGGAATCCATGAATTGTGAACAGAACTTTGCGCGGGGTCCTGACACCACCGGTCAACCAGCACGTGCACACATTCATAATCCCTGCGAAACGAAGAATTCTGATTTTGCGATCACGTATCACTCACCTCATGGTTCAGAGTTTTTTTTTTTTTTTACATAGGAAAGCACGGAACACGGCAATTATTGAAGGCGAAACAAAATAGCTGCGCGCATCTCACATGCTATCAGTTTAAAATAAGACATGGCGGCAGAAAGCATCTGCGTGCAGCAGAGATCACACACGACTCACCGAAGCTCCTCAGACACAGGCTTTCATAATCACATACGGCGGCAATTCATTTCAACTTCACATTTATCGACAGCTGAAGGAGGAAGAAACTCATTACAGGAGATTTTAAAATTTTTCTGCAGTTAACGCCGGTCTTTCAGCAAAAGATTTAACCATAAGAAACCACCACAATCACAACAGCTCAGTGAATTTGTAACCCATCACCGAAGTTATCCAAAAAAACTGAACTGAAAAACGGAATAACGCTTGTATTCATGATCCTAGAACATCAGAAAATTCAACACCATCCACGTTCAAAATTCTCCATGAGATGAATCTTCCGGATGAACATCGAGATATGCTGGAATTTTCCGAAAACGTCGAAGTGATGCCCACGATTGTCCAAGACTCGGTTGTTACCATCACCTGGAAATCATAAGCGTAAATTTCAAAATATTTCCACGTAAAAGATAACACATTTAATTCAATGCGCGAATAGCAACTCAGAAATATCTCGTTCACAGTACAGCTTTCTTTGACTCTCACGGACCAACGGAGAACTTCAGTATCACGGTTCTATTTTTCCAATTGGAACCGTGATTTCTGAACACTTGTGAGATTGATGAGATAGCAGTGGCGCGAAGTTCGATGCAAAATGAGAGAAGCGCGAAGCCCTGCCATTATCCGCAACTAATTACATTTTGGAAAATAATGCTCCAACAGTTACCACACGAAGATGACATCTCACCTCAATGCACGAAGAAAATCATCATGACGGAGGAGTTCTTTGTCGTTCAATACCACGGCATCAGTCGAGGCGATCAAGTCCAATATCTTCCAGGTGAGATGAATCGAGACCGTTTCTACCCAACCATTGCGAGCAGAAGAGGCGATTCATCGGCGAATCGTCTAAAGGAAAAAATAATGAATGACATTTCTCGAAAGCATCACAGCCTAGTATAGATGGATACCAACAGCAACTTGCGTTATTACTATGCGAGTTACAAATTTCCACGTTCCTGAAAATTCTCGTAACCTGATACTTTTGAAAAAAAAAATTTTAATTCGACAGCGTAAACGGACCGTGTTCATAGAGCGAACAAAAATCTTCAGTTACGATGAGATACTGCACTTTCATCGCAAAATCTGAACAAGGAAATCTTTCACTTTCACGTAGCAGGCAGTTCGACAAAAACTTGAAGAAGGATAAGTGTGATTACCTGATCAGTCGCGCAGGCAGTACTTCTTTTCCTGAACGGATCAACCGGAACATTTGAACAACCTGACTCTCGCTCGGAAAATATCAGGCTGGCTTAATGCGATCCTCAAAGCGGATCCACAAATTATTTCTGGACGTCCACATCACAGAGTTCACAACTGCGAAATTCGTGCTCTCCCGGGACATTCGATAAGAACCGAAGCAAATAAGGAATTCGAGACGTTGGTAACCAGCAGAAAAACGCTCATGCATTCACAATAACTGCGTCCAGAGGACTGCGGTACGAGACTGGGATTCTCATGCTGTTATCCGTATAAGGCCGGAGCCATCTTTTTGTTCAGTGAAATCGAGGGTTCCATGAAACGCGCGAATCCTGGAAAAATTGAATGTGTAACAGCAGCAGTTGACTCATCACAAATACGTACGGAATCAGTACTGTATATACCGTGTATATACAGCATACTGTATTACACATAAAAATAACTGGAGGAAAATTGTCCTGTTCCTCATCATGAGTGTCCGTATCATCAACTGGCCAACTTTTATGAATGGCATATAATATTACAGTACATTTGAATAAGTTTTTTAGCCAATATTTCTCAATTAATGTCTCTATAAAATAACCTGCAGCAAGAAACACAAAATACTGAATCTGCATGCATAATTTATTACTTTTTTGAACTTAATGCACAGAGATGTGACTGGGCCACACAACTGGGCATGCTCTCTTCCATGTGTGATCTGATCAAAATTTCAACATATAATAAAATCTGACCAATGCCCAGGTGTGGCTGGGCACCCCCAGCTTGTTACACATAAAAATAACTGGAGGAAAATTGTCCTGTTCCTCATCATGAGTGTCCTTATCATCAACTGGCCAACTTATGAATGGCATATAATATTACAGTACATTTGAATAAGTTTTTTAGCCAATATTTCTCAATTAATGTCTCTATAAAATAACCTGCAGCAAGAAACACAAAATACTGAATCTGCATGCATAATTTATTAGCATGCACCGCATACATTCAAAGCATATACAAGACAGCTCTAGATATGCAGGATTTCATGATAAATGAAATTCTCATCTCCAGCACAGCAGCAATAATACTTGCTTCCTCACCAAGAAAATTCACTACAATATAGGGAATTAGGAAAAAGTCCTGTTAAAACCTGCATATTGGATGGTATTTGCGAAGAATCCTACATGGAATTCAATAAAAAGTTGTTTCTAGATGAGAGAAAATTGTTGCTAAGAGAGTCTATGTATTACATGCATATAAATAATGAGTACCTGGATGTACATATAATAGTTCTGGTGATTTATACACTTTACACCCACAGCAGATACATGCAATAAAAGCCACCTTTGCAGCAGGGAGAGGACGATCAGACCATTCTGCTGCAGGACTTATTCAAAGTACAAACCAGTTTAAAACATTTTTCACGCAGATTTAGTACAACATTTTATTTTTCAGTTTTGCTTATTAACATCAGATTCCTTGAAATTTGATTCAATTACCTTCTTTACAAAATTGGTGAGCCTTTCAAACCATGATGGAATAAAATAAAACAAATCAATAACAATACAGTATATGTCATATCATATGCCATATTTTCTGCGCTTATTCTACAGCATGGAATAAAACTATTTGTCAAAGTTTAAAAGTTAATTGGCCAGCCACTGTATTAACATTTCCTAGCAAATAACTTATGACAGCTTCTAACTGAAATTGCATCATTTGTATATTATAGCTGTATGCTAACAATTTTTGGAGAATCTCAATATTCAGTGTATGTCGACTCTATAATTGAGGGGGGGCGGAGTGTTCAATACATTTTCTGAAAAGTCCAACATAATGAGCAACTAGATTCTAATGCATGCACAGCATAGGGTGCATATTCATGTTATAATGATTTACATATGCATGTTCCTATAAGTCTTTGCAGATGCATCTCAACCAAATTTTCCCTTTTCATTCATGCAGATAAGCAAATATCTGCATGCTGATGAAAATTCACACATGAAAATCATCCTGAGAATCACCTTAAAATCTTATTGAAATTAGAATATATAATTGCACTCTAGAATTCAAAATACATCAACATGCTCAGTACAAACAGAAATATTTAGGCACTTCCTCGCACTTCGCCACACAAACCAAAAACAAGCGCTCGAAAAAAATTTTACTCGGCGGAAATCACATTCAATATTAAATTTGTGAAACATTGCTAAAAACAAAATAAACCCATCAGCGCTTTACAAAAATGTCAAAGATTCAGAATTTTTCAGATCACAGCTGCATCCATCACTTATTCCCGCATCACGATGAATTCCAAATATAAACGTTGCCTTTCACCACACACTGGACACAAATGAATCGAAATGAAAAAAACAGACGACGAACTGATTGAAAAAAAAAACACACACACACACACACACATACAAACAAAGACCGCTTCAAGAATGAAATTTTGAGAAATCCAAACTATCTTGATAATAAGCCATTAAAAATAAAAATATAACTCCCATAGCAAACCCGATACTTTGCAGAATGATCGTTTTGAGCCAGTTCCAAAAGCCTAGTTTTCCCGCACTTTCCGCGGATTCATTCATTTCGGGAACCTGTGGAATTTGCAATAAGGACACAGCATGAACATTCACAGGTATTTTTCATAAACAGTATATACAGCAAGACCCCCACATTCGGACACCTAATTGACATGAGGACAATTCGACATAGGGACATTTATTCTTCAATATGAAGGGCATAAAAAAGCCTGACATACAGACACTCACTTGACATGAGGACATTGCATGATAAAATTGACAATAAATTTCACCAAAATTGACTTTTATTAGGCTTAATTTCAAGAAACAGATATTTCCAACCCTAAGATTCACGCAAGAAAAATTCTTTGTCATTTCTCCCATCATTTTCCCATCCATTCAGCTAATTAAAAAACTTACCTATTGCATAGAGGGACTTCCTTCTCTCTCTCTCTTTGTAACTTGAATGTTATTTTTGTAGATGCCAACATTTCAATGTACATTACAGAGATACAGTATTAAATGCTCCAAATGTTCTTATTGGGTTGAAAATATATTCACTGAAAAATTCAAGCAGCAAAAGATTTTTTCATAGAATTCTGAAGAAAATTTCTTCCATAAAATACCAATTAAAAATTATAAAGTATAATGTAAGTCTGTGGGAAAACAACCCAAGTGGGGAGCTATTTTTGCTGTGACCCCACAGTAGGTGCACACCGGGGTCACAACTGGTGCATATGGGATATTCTGGGGTTACAAGTGTGCACTCCTGTGGAGGAAATTTTTCTACCATTCCTGGGTTACACTTGGTGCACAAATGTGAAATAACAGGAGCATCACACAAATGCACCAACTGTAACCTTGGTGGGACTTATTTGTTTACAAATGTGACCCTTTGTGAAATAACAGGAGCATCACACAAATGCACCAACTGTAACCTTAGTGTGACTTATTTGTTTACAAATGTGACCCTGAGTAATCCTGGTGTGAACACACAATTGGTGCACATTGGGGATATGCATGTGCAACAGAAAAAGTTTGGTACACTTCAGGTGCACAGCAGGGTCACTGTGTAGAAATACTGACACATCCC